CCGGGCGTTCAAGATGGGCGCGATTGACGGCTATCGACCAGTTGAGAAAAAGTATCCCGGGGCCATCGATATGTAGATTCAAACATATGATGGCATACAGCCCGGAAGGCTCATTTTCACTAGCATCGCTGAGCACACGAGATCATTGATGGTGTGGGACTGCCTTTGGTTTTTAGCCTTTCACAAACTACGCTCGACCACGTACGCGATATTAAAAAGGCTAGCCCTGCGGTCTTTGGCACATTTTACAAGAACATCCATCTTGTGGTTTTGGACTATAGGGAATCATCTGGCATCAGCTGGCAGACCATCACCACCCGTCGCTTTGCCATTTTCGAGCGGCTATGCTACTATTCGCATTTCATTGATACCGTCAACTTTGACTGAGAGATCCGGCTCATCGTCTCCATGGTTTCTGTCTTTCGTACCTGTCAATAGGTTTTCAGGACCTCAAACTTTCCGAAAGCGCCGCACTTTCTGGGCTCTGATTCCTTCGTCCAACAAAGCTCTCCGCATTCAGGTATTTTGGCTTTTCTTCTTCCTTCGAGTTAAATGTCTCTATTACTTTCTAAACTTCCGGTAATACTTCCGAGCCAACGCCGGTCCCACCTCCCGCCGGGTAGCGTCTTATGGCTCTGATCTTCACTTGAGTGTTAAGCAATAGTTTGGTGATATCGCGTTCACGAAGCATATTATCGAGCCATCCCTCAGAAAATGGATCTTGCAACTTTGAACCATTCCCCTTGAGATAGAACCATAGCTAGTATTATCTAAAGCCCCCTTAATGTCCAAGAAGGTGCACAGAGAAATCTTCATGGGCTCAAAAAACACATTCGATCTTACTCAGCAGTGTTTTCCGTTTTAGCTTAGCAGTCTGGCCTAACTTTAATTAAAATACTGAAAATTTTTTCCATTTACAAAAATTAATCTAATCATATTTACATCCATGTACGCACATACATACATACGTACGTAAATTAAATATCCCAATATCAATGAGCTGCCGCAGATGTGCTGCTGCAGCGAGGAAGCCCTTTGCATTCGCCAAAAATTCTATTTATCCGCTAATTTCGCAACGTTTGTTTGGTCAACCCATAAGTAGAAATTGCACAGTTTAGTTTATTTGCGTTTCCGCCAATGCGTGTTGCTGATAAATTAGTTTATTTGTCTGTCCTTGTTTCCGTTTTCAATTCAATTGAATTAATTGCAACAAAACCCTAGTCCAATTACGTTTGGTGTGTGTTTTTGCTGCTGCAGTTTGTTAACGCTTAGCTGCTAATGATAACTATTTTGTGGCACATTTAAACCTCTTTGGGTCCAATTGAATTTAAACAAATAGGCGTGAAGCAGCATAAAACTCGCTAAACAATTAAAAAAAACTTCGACCATGATGACCTTGTTATCCTAATATACATATGTATGTAGTTAGCTGCGCGAGGGAATTTGTATATTTATATACATATGTATCTGTGGATATTAAAAAAACAATTTAAGTAAACCAAATAGCATGTGTCGATAAAACATACATACATTTTTTACCGGCAACAACTGAATGTTGTCTTGTAAATAAATTTTATTGCTCTGACGATAAAAAGCGCTTTGCCAAAATATACAATTTTGTTTGTTGTTTGTTGTCAGATGTGGATTCCAATCGAACCGTGGCCTATCAGAAACCCCACTAATAGTCAGAGCCATGGCTTTGCCAGCCTTAGAAGCTCCTTTGACCACCTCCAATGTACATAAGGCTAGAAACACCTTGAAATTGCGTATGCCCCCGTTCTCGATTGGCATTCGCTGAGCCCATCAATCCAAGTGTTAATCACCGCGGTTCGGTTGCACTCCCATTCGCACCTGCCCGTACTGCTTCAAAAGCACCTTTTGTAACCAACTCGTCAGCCATGCAGTTGCTCGCAGCCTTACTGTGGTGCCTGGTACCCATATGTATAGCTTAGGTTAGGTCGTCTTAGCCGCCCTCGTCTACCACAGGCAAGGGGCACACTTAGGCCATCATGCGACCATTGTGGTGCCATATTAGATAATGCTTGCGAACCTTTTCTTGTCATAGAAATATAAGAAATTTGTGGCTCTTTCAGCCAAATATTCAAATAAATATTGAAGGAAGGAGCGTTGACGAGCCTTTGCCTATTCGCCATCGATCTCCCTCACATAACGGCTGCTACGGCAGTAATCGTTTGACTGCGTACCCATTCTAATAGCGTGAGTTTTCATCAAACCGTGCCCGGTGATAACTCCAATTATATGTCGGAACAGTGGTCGCTCCAAGTGTGGAGCGAGCTAAGATCTACGCTTATCCAATTTCGGAAACTTTATCAGTGAGTTCAGGGCTCTGATTTATGTCTGGCGATCGAAGTAGATGTTACTTCGCTTATCTACATCACACTTTTGGGTAGCGCAGTGTGTGTACTGCTTCTTTAATAACAGCCAGAGGTCGAAAATATAACCCACAAAATAGAACAGGTGGTTTATTTTTTGTAGATGTGTGCTCCTCTCAGTGGGCAAAGGTTATTTGCATATCTTTTTCCGTTACTGGAAAGGTAGTGTCTCAGAGGTGGTCCCATACTAATCTGGTTAAGATC